GATGTTGCCAAGGTATTGTGTGGCTCTGGGGATCCATGTAAAGATATGGGTGCTGGTCAGGAGGTGAACTTCTAAGTTATCCTTGCACCCTGAAGTGATTTTTCTAGAAGTGTAGTGCCACAAGTGGGCACATTACAGTTCACTACCCCCAGGCTGTCTTGGGGATCCTCTGCTTTAGAATTGGAGACCTAAGATTTGTTCAAGGAGCAAGGCCAGAGCTTCTGCTGAGCTCCATGGTTCGGGCGCTTCACACATCTTGGGAGAATCCATGGGGTTTGTGATCTAGAGCTGCATTTACTTCAAAGAGGTGTTAATCCCTGAACCTGATAAACATCCTGGGCTCCTGGAGTCCCCTGCTCCCTATTGAGGCAGAGAGTCGCAAGGATCCCACTCCAGCATGTTAAATCCTTGTTTTGATTTCCTTGCAGTATCTTTAGGAAAAGCAACTTGCGTTTGCAAGCAGTTAGGAGTATGGTGTGGGTCACTATTCATAAGAATTAAAATTATATTCAGGCCACTTTTTTGTATTTGGCATTTGAGATTAGAGTCAGCCTGTCAGGCTTGGTCATTTAGAGTTGCTCATCTTTTATTGAAAGAGATGTCCCAATTCATGATGGAGGAGTGCCCGTCTGCCAAGACCAAGGTGGGCAGCATTTTGCCAACTATTATTGCTTTGGTAATTGCTGAACAGTGGCTAAGAAAAAAGTGCTTTGAAAGCAGGGCCTGTCTAGACAGGTGAAAATACAGTAGTAGTATTAAGAGACTCGCCAGTACTATTAGGATTTTGGTTTGATACTCAGTCTTAATTTGTTCACAAAACACTTACCAAATACTGGGCCTGTTATAGACAAAAGGGATGTGGCAGGAACTTAACAGACTATTCAGTTAAAAACCCACCTGAACCAAATCTAAACTAGGTGAGAAACCCTTGCCAAATCCAAACCAGATCTGTAGGCATTGCCTACTTGTGCATTTTCAGGAATTTGTGTTCAGACTGTGTCAGGAGTCTGGTCCCAAGTGCACTAGTTCTCTGAGGCAGAGATCCACTGGCAAGGCCCCTCCCCAGGATGGCACAAGGCTAATCTGGTACGCTAAGACTTTGAACTGGCATGTCCCGTGCTGTTGCAAAACATGAGGCTTTACTCTCAGGGTATTAATAAATTTAAAAACAAGTCACCCCCACTGTGTGCTGCTAGGGTGACTCACATGAATCCACCCCCTTCCCTGGAAATCTTTAGTGGCAAGGACATCCCATCTGGACAAATGAGGGAAGCATAATGCTACAAAATACAAATAGTATTTTGCAAAGAATCACCGAGACCCCTTCTGCCTCAGGAATGTGAAAGCCCCAGGAAGCTAAGACTTGAATCAGGACTTGCAGCCAACCCTCAAGGCAACAGCAATGAACTCAGTATTGTAGGCTTCTTGCTGAGGACTACTGAGTGGGCACCTTGGCAAAGCCAGCCATTGTATGCTTACAGAGAACTTTTAGTAGAATTAAAAGACTAGTGGCGATAACCATGTTTTCTTTTGTGTGCTCTTGTGGGACAGTGAAAGAGAGCATGTGTGTTTGATGTATAGTTAATACATTTCTGTTGTGCCAGGCAAACACTGCAGAACACGTCTGAAAACATACTAATTGCTGCATGCGTTGGAGTAGATATACAATCTCTAAAGTATCAGAAGCTCCACTCGGATTAGGATGCTCCAAGGAACTCTTAGGAGGCTATTTCAGGATAAATAAACTCCTCCTAGCAAAACAGCAACAGAAGTGTGCTTTATAGGGTTTAAATGAAAGTTTGTTCATAGTTTAACTACTTCAATTTCTGAGGTTTTGAAGGCATCTCCTTTAAAAATGTCCTTTTAAAGATATTTTACATTGGTATTCACCTAAACAGAGACACCCAAAGATGTGTGAATACAGTTATTTTAAACATCTCATAAGTCTGGGTGCTTTTCATTTAGGTTTTTTCAAAAGCATTGAACGAGTCCCTGTTGATCAACATGAGCAGCACAAAGTATCAGTAATGATTGGCAATTGTCTTAACTAAAGCAAAGCTTTCCATGCATTGTCTTTATTTGTTTGTCCTTGCACTTTGGGTTTACAGGTAAGTTTCCAGAAAATAATGATTTGACTAAAAGAGAGAGCTATTCATTTGCGGGGGGGGGGGGGGGGTTAAA